AAAGTAAACCGACTCAAAATTCCAAAAACAAATCGGCTATCGGTAAATTACTTAATTTATTTGCAAAAATGTAGTTTATTGGATGATAGATCTCATTTCTGACCAAGATTTGGGAGACTGTAAACGCCCAAATGGGTGTTCATTCCAATGTAACACTTCTCATTGATCATATAAAGAAGTAAGAAATAGAACATCTAATTCTCAATGTGACGTTTGGCAGTTAAGATGCACTGGCTTACTAAATCAAGCCCATACACTTTTCTACACTAACAAATGTCATTTCCCACTTTGGGACTGTTTTTATTACCCAGGTATTAGGATTATGGTTGAAAACTGTTGTCTTTGTGAGGCTAAAGTTTAGAAATGGAACGAACAGTATAAAATTAGTGTAGTCGTCAATCTTCCCCAAGTGAGGTAGCTCGGATATGTGTTATGTGTGCCTAACCACCACCTACCGCTACGGGTGATATTGTCTGGTGTCGAAGTAGGTTAGAGTAAAGCTAGAAGCTACCAAACCAAGGTGTGGCATTAGTCGTTGACATAAGCTACAATTGTGCTAAGCCATGTTAATAGGCGTAGACTACCTGGTTGAGATTCACGTGATTATCGTGATTAGTGGTTAGGAACGTAAATTGACATAACTCAAATCATTTCCAATGGCGCAGGTGCATCTAATCTTTTTCGTTCTTTGGATTCCAAGTTTTTAGACTCTTCATAACCTTCTTATCTGATCAATTAATACTTTTACAAACCGTATCTTTGATATTTAATATCTTTCATCACCAATAATACTGTTACTAACTCTGAAAGCCTAGAATTCGCTTTGACAACTTCGTTTCTCTGTGCTTATGGTGTATAGAAACTCAAACCGATTTACATAGGTCCTAAATTCTACGTCGCGTTTGACTAATTAAATATTTCTTGAAATGCCCAATGCCACAGGAATGGTGTTTTAGACATTTTGTGAACCTTTCGATTCAATTCAATTTTCTAATTTTAGTAAAACTATTTAAGTTATAAAAGAACTTATATGACTAAAACAAATGACCCATCAAGAATTGACTTGGTTAACTTTAACTACTGCCAATTTACTTTCTGAACAAAGTGACAAAGATTAGGTAGCAATTTACTAAAGTTTCCTTTATGGTAACTACAATTTCTATGATAAAACATTATCAACAAAACGTAAATGCATGGGGATTAATTTGAATGAACAAAAATTTTGAAAAACTTTTCACCAACACAACAAGTTCATGCCAAACATATATATGTTGAAAATCTTACACTATGTTAACCGATATGAAATGTCCGACGTCAGAAGTGTTTCTACTAAATACGAAAATCTTTTTATTTTTTTCTTTTTCTTGTGAATTTAGTTCGTTATTCAAAACTTTTACGTATTTTAATGAAGCTTTTGGAATCCACATATTGGTAATATCATTGTCATTATAATAATGATAAACGTAGCATGTTATTGAGATTTAGATGGAGGTTGGAGGTAGTCAACAGGAAACCCTGGACCCGGGTTTCGTGCTATTTGGCTTTCGTCAGCAAGGCGTACATGCAATTTTGAGGGAACTGGTGCTCTCTGGTGGATTCGATCTCGTGTCACCCAGCTTCACAGTCACGGACGTTACCACTGAGCTATCCGAGCCATGACTAACCTCCTGTAGAACTGAGCTGTAATCACAATTGATTGATCACTGGGTGGTGATCAATGTCATGCTTGTCTAGTCCTTATTAGTGCAGATCGAATGCTATCGATCATGTTGCAGTGTGGCCACTAGTCTAGGTGACTCGACACTGCGGGAACTATGTATTGAGATTTAGATGGTGGTTGGAGGCATTAATAAGGACTAGACAAGCATGACATTGATCACCACCCAGTGATCAATCAATTGTGGTAGCATGTTATATTTTCCAAACAAAACACTACACTGACTCAGCCTATCCCTGATTTCATGTTTAACAACTCTCAAATATATTTTTTAGTCACACTAGTTAATCCATGTAAAAGTTATAATTAAAACGAAACAAGTATTTTTAGTGAAAATATTAGATTACTTAATAAAAACTACACATAGATAAGATTGAAAACTTACATTTCAGAAAAGATTATACGCTTATTAGCTTTGTATTACTATGAAATACACTTGTATAAGCTCAAATAACTGATATTTTTATGATAATTTATGAACACTTAAAGTAATAACAGGCAAAAAATGATCACTAACAATGTTTTATTTTGATATTCATTGTTACGAATAAATTTTTACTCCATAAAATGCCTACACACAATCATAAGAGGTATAGGAAAGGGGAATTTAATTCTCAATTTCAGAAGCAATTTTCATTTAAGTGAGCAGTTTTGGTGCAACAGAATCGTTTAGTTATTTAAATTTAATTCTTAAGCCCTCAGAATATTTAAATATGATTTAATGATAAGTAACTTTATGATCTTGCTTTGGTGAACATTCTGATATTTACTAGTATATTTTAACAAACAACACAAAACAACCATTAAATGTTAAACTGACCTCAATAGCATCATCCCATTTAAGTAGATCCTTGTATAATTTTATGACATCTTCAATAGAATTTTGTGATAAAAATATGTTTTCGGCTGCTCGAAAGTCTTTCTCAAGGATAGCAATGCATGCCTGAACATTCGACTTGGATAACTTGTTTTCCATTAATAAGTTTCGAGTTTGCCGCAAATATCGTGACTTGCTCACACAACCTAAAGAAGCAAAGGACTGTTCTGAAATTAGTAAATTTCCCGTTTTTAAAGAGGCAAATCCTAGTTTAGTCCACATAGATTTTGTTTCAGGTGTTACATCTAAGCTTTCCAAAAATGAAACTGCTCTTTCGAGGTCCCCATCATCCATTGCTGTACCGAATTCGATACGACTGTCGTCCAAAGCATAAGCAACAGAGTTCACACCCTCATTTATTAAAACCTCAGTCCTGCCATTCTGACGTACGACATCTGTAATATCTCCACCTCTCAACGGGATTGATGTCATTCTGTCAGTCGATTCAGTGTTGTACCAAATGCAAAGACTATCTTTGGACTGAGCAATTATGACATCACTTTGAGGAACCCACTGTACATAGTAGCAAAAGTTAAGTAGCATAACTTTTACACCTGTTTCTATATCGAATAGAATAAGTTGAAGCTTCTTGTCTCGAAAAAGTAGCTTTTGTCCAGTTTCATTTAATTCAATCCAATCAATTTTTCTATCATGAGAAACGTGTGCAACATTTGACCCTGTTATAAAATCAAAAATAGCTATTGTCTTCAGATCTAACATATAGGCAATTTTTTTACATGTACAATTATTGCTGGACTTTCGTTCGTTCACTCGAACACTTATTAGAAACGGAGTGGTAAATTCAGTTCTAACTGAGCCTAATATTTCATTAACTCCATATTCAATCACATACAATTCACCAGAACCAAATATTATGCAAAATTTATTATAACCGAAATAGAAGCGCTCCTTGGGGTTCTTTCTACTCCATGGAACTTCACTTAACTGATTCTCACGAAGATCACCAAGTATCAGAGTATTTGATGTATGTGTGACCAAGTATCGATTTTTACCCATTACTTTTACATCGTCGATTTCATAGCCGAATTTCGACTGAAGAACAATTGTGTCGTCGGATTTCAAGTTTCTTACAACAACTTGACTTGGTCCAACATAATTTAATTCAAAAATTTTCTTGTATAATTTCTTTTTCACACAACAGTCAAATAGGTCAACCCCACCACAATAGGTCCCAACAACCAATTTTGAACCGTCTTGCTTCCAGGCAATAGCCGTTATAGTGTACAGATTTTTTATTTCTTTTAACTTACATTCATCCCATCCACCTTTACGAGGGCTCCATGAGAGCACACGAATGCGGTTAAAGCTTCCGAATGCAACGACATGACCACTAGGGTTGCATGACGCAATAGTAAATTCCTTTTCACTTTCATCTTTGCTGTAATCGAGTTGCTGTACAAGCTTTCCCTCTCTGTTATAGACATAGATACGTCTATCACAACCAGCAGCTAGAATTGTGGGACCAGCCCATGCTAAAGCATATGGGGCTGTGGGGTGAGTCGTAAGTTTCCCTTGAGCGTCACCTGAACCATCATCATCAAAAAAATATCGAATTATTTTCCCGTCTGCATGCCCAGAAATAAATCCTTTGCCCGTAATATTCGCTGAAATTGAAACAACATAAGAGTCAGCATTATATATGGTGGATGATTTATTTGTCCGTGTGTTCGCAGCCCTAACCTTGCCATCAGCAAGGCCACAAATAATGGGTTGATTTACTGGCCATGCGATACATGTTACGGGACACTTTTGTGGAAATTTATTGCAAATCACTACTTTCTCATCCCATGACTCTCCAATTTTGTACACAAATATTATGTTGTCTGACTGTGCAATAGCAAGTTTGATAGAATCATGAGAAAATGCCATGCCCCGTACTTGAAATAAATTTCCATCATTTTTTGAGTCAGAAGGTTTTGTAGAAAAACGTGCACGACGCTCTCCATTCTCATCAAAAATAATTACCAATCGATCACTAGTGCACACAGCTATTTTCTTGTTATTTGGAGACCAAGCAAGGCTCTGTACCTTAGCTTCATATTCTTGTGTTGGTATGAGAGTTTTCAAATGTATAAGATTCATCTCACTTTCACAAGTTTGAAATATTATCACCACTTGTTACTATGATACCATTTCAATGAGTAATTGAATGTACAACACGATATTCAAATATGGTAGAAAAAGAGAACAGCCGACTACAAAACCAAGACATTTAGGTGTATAATCGCTATATGAAGCTCCAAACATCCTTGTAAATAATATTATTAGGCATAGCATCTTTCTTTGGACACTTAGTTAAGGTAAAACTTCACACTCTAGTGATCACTTAATTACCTTTTGAAGGCATAACTGTATGGTCTTGTGAAATTTAAGTTAAAAACTACTTAATCCTTTAGGTAAATGAAATAATGTTGTGTTTTTAGAGTGAGTCTTTTAGAGCGCAATTTCAAACATGAGGGCCTGGCGCTTCACCTCTGCCGTTTGCAGATCAGGATTCCAAAGATGCGTATTACCGCGAAATATCCTGCACGCTTTATCTGTATCCAATAAAATTTTTGGAAATCAACCGCTTGCATACCCATGTCTAGCTCAAACACGGTCGATAAAAATTCTGCTCTCTAAACCTGAAGTGGAAAGTAAAGTTTTAGCTGTCTGTTCTGCGTTCGATAAAATCCAGTCCGATAAGGTTCTTGTGCATATTTATTTAACACTACATTCAGCTTACGCTTGATTCTTCGTTTATCAAAGATCTCGGTCTTGATAGTCTGGACCACATAGAAGTAATTATGGAAATCGAAAATGAGTTCCGTAAGTTCTTTAAATCTACAAAATGTGTTGTTTCTTATGCAAACGGAGATTTAGATTATTGTCGTTTCTCGAGTGTCCTAAGTCTTTACATCCGCCGGTATTCAGACTTGTGCAGTCAAGACAGAAAGCCTACTGCCTATGTTATTTCTTTTCCAGTATGCTCCTGTAAGTATCTAGTCTTTACTTAAATGAGTTGGTTAAAGGTTCGGACACCACTGCTTCGGGTAAAAAGTGTGAAACATGTATGCTACGGATATTTTGTTCGTTCTTGGTCCTCATACTCACTTGCTATGTCCTCTGAGATGTCCAGATCCTGTGAGAAGAAAGAGAGAATATATTAGGTCCGAAATCATTTCTTAGTATTCTATGCATTAAAATCAATCACTTAATCTGCGGTAGGACAGAGTAGAGAAATTAGCTTTTTAAGCCTTTCGTTGTATGTTAAACTCCGGAGTTCTGGAATTGCACTGGTAGCTTCTCTCTGCACGTTTTCCAGTATATCCGAGTCACCTCTAGAACGGAAGCTTGCAGCCGAACTCACTTCTCAGGTTTAGTTCTCACTGAGATTGTGTATACTGTAGTGAACATATTAGTATCTAACATGGTGAATGTCCAACTGACAGTTCATAGGGTCCTAAACGTCTTAGCTACAACCTCCCGGCAGTGGTCCTTTGTCTAAAGACCATGGTTTACTGTCCTTGTGAGACCAGACTACGGGTACAGGCACTTCCCCTATGCTATATCTATTTACCTTATCAAAGTGCATGTAAACACACTTGGGCACATTAAAGGGTATCAGCCACTTTTTAGACCAGCTGATCACAATATTTAAGTTTGTCTGAACTACGCATGTATCTGCGTCTCCTGATATTTTTACATCTTCGGCGTATAGTATCGTTGGGGAATTAACTATTTTTGGGATTTCACTTACATACAGTATAAAAGGTAAAAGATTTAGGACAGCCTCACGGTCCTCCACTACGTACTAGTTTCCATTTGGAACTTCTGGAATTTATTCTTACTTTTTGTCTACGATCTACTAGGAAATCCTTAACCCATTTCCGGAGAGGTTCGCAATGCCTAGATTTCCCAGCTTCAAGATCAGTATTTCTGTTGGTACCTTATCAAACGCTTTGCTGACGTTTTTGTGGACAACACCCACTGATTTTTTGTTGTCTAGAGCCTCTATCCGTTGTTCCTTTGCTACAAAAAGATTTATTTTGCAAGATAAACCTTTCCTGAAACCGCGTTGTTTGCTGTTTAACAAATTGTTGGTTTCCACGGATGTAATTATGGCCTTTGTGACTTTTCACACTGGTGAACCAGAAAGGTTTGTAGCTTGATCCTTTTTTGTATTGAATTGATGATTGCATCCTTCAGTTTGCAGGTAACTCACCTTGACCACGTGATATATTGGATATCACAGTTAGTGGGGCTTTAATTTTTCTCAAGATTTTGGGGTGTAGTTCATCCGATCTTGTTGGCTTTTCCGTGACTAAAGTTATAAGGGCTTTAAGCACATCGTCTCGATCAAAGTCCACGGTAAACAGACGGTTTGTCGACTTTGTTTTTGGGTCTAGTTCTTCATCTAAAAGAGGCTCGAAATAGTTTGCCATAATATCTGCTTTTTCCTAATCATTCTCTATCATTTGAGATACACTGCCTTTCGTAATTAGGTTGGGAATCCAATGCTGCGTCCTTGTTCTGTAATTAATGTGCGATAATAGCCTCTTAGGTTACTTATTTGGACACATAAATATTGGTACAAGAGGACACCAAATATATAGCGCCACACAAAACAATGAGAATTTGAAGAGAAAAAAAGAAGGTGTTAAAAATTTCTATCGAATCAAATTTACATCTTCCCAGCCCCTATATTTTATCTATTTAAACACAAATATTGATACAAAAGGGCACCAAAATATATATTGGCCACACAAATAGGTAAATGAAATTGTGAAGAGCGAGAAAGGAGTCTCAACATAATAAATAAGTTGAACTAAGTTAATGAGAGTAAAAAATAATGGGCGATGCAGTTTCGTTATGAAAAACATATCCAGAAAGGAAACTTTCAGTTACAGAAGTCCCTCTCACTTTTATGAAAAAATTAAAAAAAATTACAACAGGGCCACCACTAGCCTCTATTCTAAGCCATCGATGACATTCTAGAAACAGCTCTGATGGATGTAAGTAACGGCGGTGTGGATCTGCTGCCCGGAGAAAAACTTATCGACCTTGAGTATGCGGATGATATTGTCTTACTGTGCGATAATGCCCAAGCCATGCAACCCGCACTTAATCAGTGTCCGTAGGTATGGTATGTGCTTTGCACCTTCGAAGTGCAAAGTACTTCTACAAAACTGGCGGGATTCTAACCCTGTACTCACTCTGGATGGTGAGCAGATAAAAGTAGTCAAGAAGTTCGTGTATCTAGCTAGCTGCATAAGTGCTGGTGGTGGCGTGAGTGATGAAATCAATGCACGTATAGTGAAAGCCAGAGCGGTTTATGCCAATCTGGGCCATCTTTGGCGCCTTCGTGATGTTAGTATGGCTGTGAAAGGTCGGTTGCAAGACTGGAAGGACCCTGACCATCGACATCGGTGGTTTGGAAATGCCTTACGAATGTCGTCCCAGTGAATTCCACATCGTGCATTATTTGCCGACACTAGAACCGGTTGAAAAAAAGCGGAGGAGTGGTCAGTTTATGGCATGGTGTCGTGGTATGAGAGAAAGCTGTGCAGGAATGACTTCTGATGGTCCTTCACGTCTCCCTGGTTGAGGTTCTAGAGATGGTGCAATACAGTGGCTTTAGATATTATCATAATAGAAGCCAATGTTGGTTCTGCTGTAACTTTCTCCATAAGAAATGGACGTAACTTCCTTAACTGGAAGAATTCTTTCTGGTTGTATTTTTGCTAACTGGACTGCCTCTCCCATCACTATTATTTCACTCTCATACACTATTCGTTGTTGTTATTCTTATAATACGCACTGTACATTCTCTATTTCTTCACATTCTCATTGTTATTGTGTGGTACATATGTGTTTGGTGCTCCCTTATACCGATGATTATGTGCTCAGATAAGTAAATAAATAGATAGCCTACGAAGCAAATATTCCCAGCAAGTAAAGTCATGTGTTATCCCTTTTTTTATAAACTACCAGTACTACTCGGAACATTCTACGTAGTTTAGTTTGTCAAGCTTATACTACCTATATTGTTTTTATAACTCATTTTCCCTAGTTAAGTTCGTCTATTGTTTTCGTACATTGTCAGTCTATCCATATCTCACTTATTTTGTGCCTTAAATTTTTTTTCAGGGTTTGAAATAAGTGATGTGGATGCCGAAAAATTGCACACACCTCGTGATATTGTGGAACATGTGTATCATTCAATTAAGAAAGCAGAACCTGCAAATTAAGATACTGGTGAAATATTAAAACAATTCTAATTATTACTAAAAACACTCTAGACCATATATTATTGTAGATATTGTTCTCCTGAACACGCTACTTTTCAATTTATGAAGGGTGCTTGAGCTCATAGAAGAATGTCTCTATCTTTCTCCAGAACCTTGTCATATTATATCACTAGGTCGTCAATTGAAGTTGTCTCATAGTAACACATATTTAAATGTATTAAGGAAATCAGTAGTTTGGTTATGTTAACTTTACAAATACTGTCTTAACATTCGTTGCGCTTAACTATGATTTTTTTTCAAATATGGATATGAAACAAAGTTATAGTTAACATACGCTTTGTCGTGATTAGGTGGATGAAACTATTAAAAATAAATTTGAAAAGAACACAAGTTTCTGGAACTCATTTTGTATTTTGCCAGCCATAGGGATCAATACCCAATCTCGCCAGACAACACATTTTTTAAGAAACTCGTGTCTATGTTACACGAAGGCTTCAGCTTTCCCAACCCGTTATCTCTCCAACCTGTTGAAGGGATTGATAACACCCGAGTAAAACTACTGACTACGAATACTCAATGTCTTGTTAATCGATCCTACCCTGTATCAAGGTCTTGAGGATATATTACTACGAAATTGCATCGCATTGTCTAAACTGAGAGCAATGAATAGACCCAAAAGCCTCCATGAATTATTGATAGACATGACACAACTTTGAAGATTCTATAAACGCCTGGTGATTCGGAACCATTAATTATCGTTCTCAAGTTAATATAATTGATAAGCTTCCCTAATCCGTTAATTAATTATAAATGCTCGAGATTTATCGAAACTTCTCAAGTCAGAACGATATCCTCCGTACGCTGACTTATCGGGGACAGATAAGCACTGTAGTCTGCTTATTTAACGGGATTCTCCAACTTGCACCTTATATATAGTAATGCGAACCAAACTCTGGGTATTCTATTGCGGCCAGAAGTTACTCTTCCGGCAGTCTAAGCGACAAAAGACCCTACACAGAATTCCTTAGCTAAAAGGCAGAGACAGTGTTTACAATCCCTAATACAACATTTATGAAGTCGGTAGCTATACATCAAGTATGGAAAGCTTTCGTTTACAGGAAGCTTCAGTTAGATTACATAATTTGAAAAATGGAGGGGATATCCTTATTGAGGTCCATGTTATTGTACATTGCTGAGGTAGCGTCCATGTGGTGTTGGTGATGGATCGTGAAAGTGTTGATATCCATTTGTAATCCCGTCTACGATGTCAAGAATTAACTTTGTTAAACACCCCTCACCTGACTCAAAAAATTTATCTTTTTGAAATCTCGCCTCAATCACTGCACCCGTTTAATACTGACAGTGAAAACAGGGGTAAATTGATTTGCACAATCTAATGATTTGATACACGTATTGATTCTTGCCTGTCAGAGCAAGAGGATCTTTATGTAGCACTGTGAAGAACGTTCGCTGAATTTATGCCTCTGACCTATCTGCCCACGAGAGGTTGCAAGAGTTAACTTAGTCAATCATAAACACCTTGGCACTGATGTCAGTTTAAGTTGCTATACTACACTAACATTGAGGTAGAATTGACAAAATGAATATCACTTGAGTCGAAGTAATCGTAACAACAATGATAGTAGGAAGGAGTAAATATTGAATATATCGTCCTTGAACAGAATGGTGTGCATGTATGGATATTTGGGCAAACTGAACTCAGGAAGTAAGAATAATGTATATGTAGTATCACAGTGAGTAGGAAAATTAAGTCTTTGATCAAAGACATTAAGTTAACCCAAGTTTACATAGTACTACTTAAACTTAATTTTTCTACTTATCGAGATACTACGAAAAAATTTTCATCTATAGCAACCTACCCAATGCCCAGTTTATTTGAAATTATCAAGTCAAACCTTGGTAACGACACCTATGAACTTTGAAAGATTTAGGGACTAGTAGCTACATCAGAAGTAGTTCCCACGGAATGACATGCATGAACAACAGAATGTGTCTATCAATCCGTGTGGATTCGTTTCAAATAAGAAGACAAAAACATATACACGCAAGTCGACCACTTGCAGGAATAAGCATAACAGAATTTAGGGACTGTGCTGAATATGCTTACGGCTGAAAAGAACAAATACACCACCATTGTGTCTGATTTCAGGCTCTCAATCAGATGATCTTATCAAACCACATCCTAAACCTTAATCAAATACACACAGCCAAGTTTAAGCGTCAGTAGCCTCATAGACGTCTCATGTCTCGACCTGAAAGTCCTACGGATCCGTACACCTCAGGCAGGTCAGTGCGCAAAACATTGGGTCCTCACCTAATCACTTGTATGTCCGAATGTATTTCCAAGTAGTGAAATCTAGCAAAAGCGTAGCGTTTCCCTCGCAACGTCTAGGCCAATTACTCGAATTCATTTCGGAAGCGAGTATCAATCCAAAGACAATCCTCACTTAGTATTGGTAATCTATGAACAACTATCTTCAAAACCTCATTCCCAGCAGGCTTTAAATGATATAAGAAAAACTGGTATGGGATATAGTCCTTTCCTAATTGGCTGGAAAACACGACCACACTACTGGTGGTCGACACAAATTGTACTAGACAGAAGTATACACTAGTCCGAGATTTTAAAAGGGTCACAAACTGATTTTTCTTAGGTAGAACTCATCATGTGAGGTGGAAATGAAGAAGATGCATTAACCATTTCGCAGTTTATCTGGTCAGTTGCGGTAGACATTTAAACGACTGAGGAACATGGAAACAAGACAGCTCCCGAAACGTCTACACCCAAGGGAAGTCCAGTTCTACGCAGGGACCGTCCGCATGTGATAGTCGGGACCCTAACTTCACAGTTATGAGACCAACGTACCGCACGCTACTCACCCCTACTCGCGTCTCAATTATAAGGTAACAGTAAGTGACTCACAACTGTGTATACGAACCCTTACTCGTTAACCTACTACGATACGAAAAAATAGACGCAGTCGAATTTGAAATTAGGATCGTTTAAGACTTGGTAGGTTACTTCTCTTCTTTAATTAGATGTCGAGGGTATTGTGGTACATAATTTGTCGCCGGACGTCATTTACAGCTCTCTCGGTAATTTTAGTGAAGCTTCAGGAATTACGAATGCTCCATTAGTCCAAAATTTTAGCATCAGGTGTTAAAGCAAGTGGAAGCGGACCCAAAACGGAAATAATAGGCAAGGCGTATTCAAGTGTTTCTCGGTCAGTATGTGCCATGTCGGAAATTTTTGTTGAGCGAACTCACGGAGAAACAGAAATTGAATCCTCGTGTTTTTGTCCTCACATATGATGTGCGATCAGCGAGTTCAGATGGAATGAGATAACCACTCGAATGCAACACGATGGGTTTTATATTACTGTTATACGCCGGTCAGAGTAGTGACACTACTTTGTGTAACAGGATTAACCTTTCGTACACCCACTTTAGACAGCTGAGTCGTTTAACTGTTCCTGACAAAAGGTTAAGTTAGGAGGATGAGTCTGTACATGGTCATATTACACGGTGCACGACTAGACACTTGCTACTTACATTATTGGTCCTACTTGTAGCTCAGAAAAAAAGTAACGGCCTGTCTCGTCTTTAGGACAAAACAGGCCTTACAAACTGATCGCGTCACAGGATTGACATGACGTATGACTTGAGAAGTCTTTTAATCAAACCACTTTGGTTTATACAAGTATTCGATTACATAGGTTATTCCCGCAATGATGATAAACACCGAATGGTAAAGTATTTTAAATGGACAATATAAAACACTCAATGTATAAAACAAAACTGAATGCAAATCACAGAAACAATTTTGCTGGGACGATGCATTAAAGAACAAAAAATAAATACAGGTTAGGAATCGGAGATAATATCATACAAGTGTTAAAATATCGGTCAGTGACGATCTTCACTTTTTCGATTAGAAGAGCGATGGTGTCGCTTTCTACTTCTGTGGGAATGTTTTCCATTACGGTGACGACTATGCCTCCGACTATGAGAATGACTCCGTGAACGACTGCGACTTCTGGATTTCTGCCGACGTTCACTTTTTTCAAGCTCACGTTCGCGTTCGCGAATACGTTCTTTCTCACGTCTCTCCTCCACTGTGATAAAAATGGATCGGTTGTACCCTTCAAACCTGCGCCTACGAACAATATGATTTTCGTGCACATACTGCCTCAACTCAGCTAATTTTTGCCGAATCTCAATGAAACCCAGATGCAATTTTCCTCCAAAGTGGTCTGCGAGTCGACGATCATTGTCGTGCACACCAAGATAAGCAGAACAAACCTCACAGACCCGAAGCTTCTGTTGCTGGTAAGTGCTTGTCGGTATTGCAGTACGCAAATCTGCCTCACTTTTAGCTTTTTCCAAGTTCAATTCTTCAACCTCCTTCATAAGTTTCAAAGATTCCTCAACATGGCCATCGGCGCCAAGTTGTTCAGCCTTAGCTAACTTTGTTCCTATTTGCTCGCTTAGCTGATTTATATGTTCAGCCTTTTGTGAAGCTTCATCTGTTAATTCTTCCTGGGTCTCCCGCAGCTTTGCCTTCGCAACATCCGTACGTTGGTCACAGTCCCGAATGAATGCCTCTAGATGCTCTAGTGCCTTCGAAATATACATATATCAAGGTAACTTACATCGAGCTCATACTGGAATTTCTTCGTGTCTGGTTCTTTGCGATAATCTGCCTTATGAGCAGGATCATGTATGAAAAGGCAGTTTCCCAAGTCCATTCGCTAAACATGGTTAAAAAAATCAAAGACCTACCGTTCCCGATAATATTTCATTTGGACAGCAATCCAGTAGATAACTTTTACAGACGCGAGGATTATCAAACTCTATCCTTGGTTCTTGTCCTAAATAGGCGTTACCAGTATATGCGGTCAACAATTTTCATATAATAGGAAAAATTAACGCATTTACATTTAACATCTAAACCATCAAATAACCCTCAGACCCTTTACTTACATGAATTGACATTCAACCGCACAAACACATTCATGAACACCTTAAAAATAATGAAGAGACAAATTGAGTGCAAAGCTCAGAAAAACCTTATCTACGCACTTAGAAAGTCGTGGGCCATTTGACAATACATATCAAGCAACAAACTTTGAGGAGATAACTTACCATTTCGGGTTGTTCCCATATATTCATCCAGAAGGGCACGAATTTGGTCAGTAGCTGACATATTGCGAGCATCAATTGGGTTGCCGACGCTCAGTACACAGCATAAACAAACAAGCGCAGCAACTTCAACATCCAATACCTTCAACCAGCTGAAATATTCACAGCAGAACAGTTGACTAGTTTAAAGCCTTATAATAAATATTTTGGTGTATTTATCCACACTGTTTATCAAAATTTTTTAATAGAATCGATACTGCTTGCTTGAATTACTTTTTAAAACAGAGCTGGTCCTACAATTCTCTTCATGTTGTCAA